TCTGCCCCTTCTCTCCTGTTATCCTGAAACCGTGCTCCAGAGTGGGCAATCCCAACGCTATCTTCAAGGGCAAGGCAGAAAACAGCACAGAACAATTCTGGAGGAACTCATCCCCGCCCAGGTGGCACCCAGTCCTAGAGCCCTCCCCTCGCGCTGGGGAAGGGAAATCACAGCAAAATGTGTGGCTGGGAGGCTCCTCCTTCTCCTCACCTCCTTCTTCACCCTAGGGCTTTTGACCTAGGGCTTCCTGGTCTGGCCTAGTAATAATAATCCTCCCTGCCTACCGCATCAGTGGCCCCGCGCACTTAGTTTCTCCTGGGAAAATGTAAATAAAGATTGGAGAAACCTGAGATTATAGCCAGGAACTGAGTCAAAGGAGTCAGGGAAGACAGTGCTTATAAACGTCAGCTCCGGTGCAAGTGTAAAACCCGGAGCGCTCCTGGTAAACCGACAGCAAGTCATGTTAAAGGCCATCTTGTTAGTGAAAGAAAAACACAGGGTCCTATTAGAATAATTAGGTACAATATCAAAGCAGAAAATGGTGCAAAAGCTATTGCCCCAATCAAATGACAACACAGTCCTAGACACAAAATGGAGTTCCATAAACGCTTACAAGCGGTAAGTTCTTAGATCTATGCAAGCCTTACAGTTTTCAAAGCGCTAAGTAAGGGGTGAGCAGTCAGTGGTCAGTATCATTCTGTTATAGATACGAATCTCTTTAATGTCTAACAACAGCCAGGAGTTGGCGAACTTTTTCTCTAGAAGCTCAGAGAGCACCCTCGTGGGCCTGATGATCTCCACCCCAAGGACTCAACTTTGCCATTGAAGCGCAAAAGCGCCCACAGACAGTGCACACACAAACGGGCAAGGTGCATTCCAGGAAAACGTCATTTACAGGGGCCGGCGGGGGACGGGGGGTGGGGGGGCGCCCTCCGCCCGTTGAACGTCTGCCTTCAGGGGTCCTGGGATCAAGCCCCATGTCAGGCTCCCTGCTCAGAAGGGAGTCTACTTCTCCCTTTCCCTCTGCCACCCGCCCCCTTCTCCTACTTGTGCATGCGCTCTCTCTAATAAATAAATAAAATCTTTTAAGAAAACTATTTATAGAAACAGGCCAGGGTAATTTTCTTCCTTTCTCATCAATGGGTTTTTCATTAGGTCTGTTTACATGAATGCCCCCAAATAAAACATACTTTTTTGGCACGAGATGCCCAGAACTAATGAACTCTAAATATTTACTCACAAGAATCCGGCTATGTAAGTCTGAAATAAACTCTCTAGGCACGGGGAAAAAAAAACAAAACAGGCAGGCTTTTCGGTCATGGCAGTCATGACCACGAGAGATTCCAGAAGCCTCATCCCTATCACACGGTTCTCAAACTTTTGGTCTCAGGATTCCTTCCCACTTTTTAAAAATTACTGAGGACCTCAAAGAACTTTGTTTATGTGGGTAAAATCTACCAATATTTATCATATTAGAAAATTAAACAAATTTCAAAAGTATTTAATAATCAATTTAAAAGTAACAAATCCATTACTAGTATAAACATTTTTTTAATTAAAAATAACTCATTCAAGGGTGCCTGGGTGGCTCAGTGGGTTGGGCCTCTGCCTTCGGCTCGGGTCATGATGTCAGGGTCCTGGGATCGAGCCCTGCATCGGGCTCTCTGCTCAGCAGGGAGCCTGCTTCCCCCCACTCTCTCTGCCTGCCTCTCTGCCTACTGTAACCTCTCTCTGTCAAATAAATAAATAAAATCTTAAAAAAAAAAAAACTCATTCAAAAAAACTTGAGATGATTGGAATTGTTTTGTTTTTGTAAAATCTCTTTGATGTCTGGCTTAACAGAATACAGCTGGATTCTCATATCTGCTTCTGTAGTCAATGTGCCATGAAAGTGTTTTGGTTGCACTATGTGAAGAAAATACGGCCTTATACAGACAGGGGCCTTTTCAGAGAACTGTGACAGTCTTCTTTGACATTAAAACTTGACAACTGGTAGCTTTTTTTTTTTTTTTTTTAAGATTTTATTTGACAGAGAGAGACACAGTGAGAGAGGGAACACAAGCAGGGGGAGTGGGAGAGGGAGAAGCAGGCTTCTTCCCCCCGAGGAGAAAGCCCAATGCAGGGATCAATCCTCGGGTCCTGGGATCATGACCTGAAACATGCTTAACGACGGAGCCACCCAGGTGCCCCGACAAGTGCTAGCTTCTTAAAGATTAGTGAGGTGGGGAATCTGAAACTGTATCAGCGAGCGTCCATGACCTGTCATTTGTTGTGAGTTCGAGCCCTGCGCTGGGTGTAGAGATTACTTTAAAATCCTGAGGCGCCTGGGTGGCTTAGTCAGCTGAGCATCCGACTCTATTTCGGCTCAGGTAATGATCTTGGGGTCATGAGATGGAGGCCCTCATAGGGCTCCCTGCTCAGTGGGGAGTCTGCTTGTCCCTCCCCCTCTGCCCTGGCCCCTCTCGTGTATACCTGCACTCTCTCTCAAATAAATAAATACATCTTTTTTAAAAAAGAAAAATCTTAAAGAAAAAATCCAATGGTCCACCTTGCACTTTGAATGGATATTTTATTCATGCATGACTGTGTCACATGCACTGGCCAGGTTCGACCCAGTCACACAGGTCTCTGAAATATTGACTCTTTTTATCATAAAATACTTTTTAAAGTCACATTTGTTAATATTACCCCTTCTCACATATGTCTTTTAAGAAGAGGGAAGCTATCAAGCCTTCAGTGGTGGATATAAGTCTTCCTAAATTAACATTTGTGCTTTCAAGTGAAAATGAGATTGCCAGCAACAAATACTTCTCATTTCCCTGAACTGTTTACTTCATTCATTTTTAAGATGTCTGACAAAAGCTCATGTCTGAGTAGCCATACCAAAGTTTTATTCTTTCAAACAAAAATGATTTCCCAAGAGAAAAGCAGCTGGTTCAGCTTGCAACTCCAACAACTGTACATGTGCGTTCCCATAAGACAACTATCATACTCCAGTGCCTGACAGAAGTGCTTCACGTATACTTCCCATTTCATGACATTTGGAATGTTAAAAGACATATGTTTAAGGGTTGAGATTTAATAACAGTAGTTTTTACTATTTCATTGAGGTCACTCTTTTTTTTTTTTTTAAAGATTTTATTTATTTGATAGACAGAGATTACAAGTAGTCAGAGAGGCAGGCAGACAGAGAGGAGGAAGCAGGCTCCCCACTGTGCAGAGAGCCCATGCGGGGCTCCATCCCAGGACCCTGGGATCATGACCTGAGCCGAAGGCAGAGGCTTTAACTCACTGAGCCACCCAGGCACCCCCATTGAGGCCACTCTTAAGTGAAAGGAGCCTCTTTCACCCCTGGCAAGCAGGGAGTAAGGGCTGCTGATATAGTTCGGTGCTACTGCCTCGAATCATGCTCAGGCCGCCGCTGCCTGACCCACCACTGCTCCTGTACCATCAGAGCCAACGTCAACAGCAAAAAACGATGACCGTGGCCAGCAACGAAAACAGCGTGACCCCGAGGACCCTCGTGGGAACTGCTACCCTGATGAGTACTTCCCACGGCCGCAGCTACTTGCAGAACATGGCAGCCGCTCCCAGTGAGGCCAGGCCTCCACAAACCTCGCCACCAGAGCCTGTCACCGTTTGTTTAAATGCCTCTGAAGCTCACATAAAAGCCAGAGTCCTCAGAACACTTCCTCTGAGTCTTCCTCAGAAACACGACAGGGAAAAAAGACCAGCAGCGGCAGGAACTGTTAACCAAATGTAGGACGTCTATCCCCCGGCCAGTCCTCGGAGGTAATGATGGTGGAGTAAGGAGGAAACAGGTCCACCCTCAAGGGCAGTGACAGTCAATGTCGGCGGGCAAAACCTGGTGCAACCCGAGCTCGGGTGTCTGTGCGGTACTCGGGAAGCTTCCGTTCAGAGAACGCTGCGCGACAGTGACTTTCAACGACCCAGGAGCTCAGAGAAGCAACAGCGTGTGACAGAGGAGACAAAGACGCAGCTGAAGGACACTGGGCGGTTTCATCCTTAATGTTTCCCTCAGGTTCAGTCAAAAGGACTCCAGAGACAAAGAGGTAAACATCCAAACAAGCGCTCTGAAGGCCCCCCGCCACCCCAAATGCAGGGACAGCCACTGCAAACAGCACTTCCCCCACTGGCAATCAGTGAGCCTGGACTGCACTTACACGGAGAGTCTCAAGCCCAAGTCACTGTCAAGGTCATGCACTGAGTCAGTGGCACAAAGAGCCTCAGATCAGGAACCATCAGCTGCCAACCTGCAAAATGCTTGCGGATCTAGCAGCGGCCATCACTGCCCATGGCCTTCACTCTGCCAGCTGCCTCCAGACCGCAGAAGGGGGCGCTGAGCAGCACGGGCTGGGGCCGGGGGGAGGTCAAGCACAACACCGGGGAGCCTGCGGCAGGGCGCTTAGCAGTATGCTGGCTCCAGCTCCTGCCTCACTTCTCTCCCCACCTGCTCTGCCGTCACAACCCAGGGTGGCTTGCGCTGAGGGGCAGGGGATGCTATTCCTGAGAGTTCTCTGCAGGGGGGACGTGACCTCCCCGCCTCTGGAAGAGTTACTGGCATAACCATTTTTCAAAGTCCTGAATGAAATATGCATTTGCAGATCAGCGAATAAGCAGCCATGGCCTAAATCAATTCAGTGAAAGCACACTGATCAAGACACCCGCACTCTAACTACTCTGTCCTCCTTTTTAAATTAAATTAAATTTACTTATCTGACGGACTGAGACACAGCGGGCGAGAGGGAACACAAGCAGGGGGAGTCGGGGAGGGAGAAGCAGGCTTCCCGTTGAGCAGGGAGCCCGATGCGGGGCTTGATCCCAGGAGCTTGGGATCATGACCTGAGCGAAGGCAGACACCCAACAACTGAGCCACCCAGGCACCCCAACCCCCTTTCAAAGGATTTGTGATATTTGCTGATGCGAAACGGGGGCTTTCTTAACAGTATGTCAACCAGCAAACTGTGAGCAAGAGCCCTGGTCTGCTCCTGTGACTTCCTGTTCTGACACTGCTCTCGCTGAATAGGTCGCGTGCTGTCACCTGGTGGAAAAAACGAGAAACTGCCTCGTGTGCCCCAGACGATGACAACAGCATTTAGGTCATTTCTTTTCACTACAGATGCGTGGGGACAATTCCGATCCCATCTTGGTTCAGCCGGCTAACCATCAACCACTAGCCACCAGCCACTTGCAGAATGAATGGTCACAGAGACGATTCATTACCGTGGTCATCCCCAAGCCCTTCAAAGCTGGCTGCGGAAAGCAGAGAGGCCGTCAGAGGGATCAGGATGATGGAGAAGAGGGAAACGGAGCTGGTGAGGAAGGTCAGAGGATCCACAAAGGGGAACGGCGAGGCCAAGAAAAAAACTACCCATAAAACTTACCAACTGGAGGACGGCCTCCTTGGAATTTTTAAGCATTTTCAGCCCAGCAGTAAGAGAAATGAATCCAGAAACACCGAAGTGTATAAAGATGAAAAAGTAAAATGTCTCACCTCAAGATATTAAAACATTTTTTAAACTTTAAATTTTGAGTAATGTCTATATCCAACATGGGGCTCGAACCCACGACCCTGAGATCAAAAGCCACATGGTCCACCGACTGAGCCTGCGAACCAAGCCAGCTGGCTGCCCCTTAATACGTTAAAACTGAGAGAACGACCTATTCATTGACAAAAATAATAAAGGCTCCTTTTTATGTGACAAGCACAGAAAAAGAAGAAAGAAGACAAGAATATCTCCCAGACAGTTATTCTCAGAAGGTGAGTTTTTATTTTTTATTTTGGATTTTTCTGTTTGTGCTGCGGTGCTTTATTAGGATTCTAATTTGTGTTTTATCTTTTGTGATTTCCCCTTACCCCATTCCAAGAAGGCAGGAGGGCTCTCTGAGCTCTGAACCAGGCTAAAAGCAAATCCTTTATACGAAGTTCAAGCTGAAACTCACTGACAAGAATCTGTCCCAGAGGGAGAAGGGAACCCAGTGCTTTTGAAGAAAAAGAGGGAAAAACAACAAAGAGCTATTTCCCAGGACAGGAAAGAAAACGGGCTGGCACATTCTGAGTGGGGCCTGCAGCTACTCAGGAGGGGTGGGCCCAGGGAGGCAGGACCCCCTGGTGCCAGGCCGCCCAGAGCCAGAGCGCTATGAGGGCCGGATGGCAGGAGTCTCCAAAGCAAGGACTGTGGACCAAAATCACAAGAGTAGCAGACACCCCCGAGTGCGGTGCTCTACGTAAAAACCCCGGGATCCCGCCAGACACTGGCGTGAAGCCTTGAACTCGGGTGTAGTTCAACTTAAAGAAAATCAGAAAATCATGTGGTATTAATTATATGGCAAGTGTGAAATAAGACAGGTACCTATTACCTGATTTCCAATTTTTCTAAAATGAATCCTATTACTTTTACAATAATTAAAGAAAGGGTCAGCAAAGGGGTCAACAAAACTTCATCAACAACAAATGAATTATCTGCCTTGAAGTACACTGCTGTCAGCACCCGGACCCACTGGTGGCTCCGAGCACTGAGAAAGCACTGCTTCTCAGTCCCTAGTGGTCCAAAGCCCCCCTTTATGCCATCGTGCACTATTCAAATCAGCTCAGAAATGCACAAAACATTTTCTCTGTGGCTTTTCTTAGGAGGGATGGTTAGAAAACCAAAGAGATACAGGAGGGTTATCAAGGCACCGGCATGTAAAGGCCAGAGCGTTTCGAAGGTTCTCTCTGGCACCGGTCTCATCTTAAATGAATCCCGACACATCTATTTTGAAAGCGTGTTAAATCAGCAGGAAGGGATGCTTTACACATAGCCATCCCCAATCCATTATGCCTCCTGTTCTCACAGTGAAGTGCTATCTGGTCCTTCCCAGACAAGATTTTCTCCTCCTGACTCAGTCTAGAGAAGGTGAAAATCACGCTCACGAGTGGAAACGGAATGAATCATCTTATCAAGCGGCAATCGCCCCCCCCCCCGCCTCCCTCCACAGTGGACCTTTGCGAAGTTTACCTCCTGCCTGTGGAGCAAACAACCCTGGCTGCTCTCACCAAGTCCCTGGGGCTCCCCAGCCTGCCTCCCAGGAGACAGCAGCCCTTTGCCTCCACCTCCCGGCAGTACCCAGGCTTGCGGCTTTGGGGAAGGACCAGCAGCACCAAAGAGCACAAGGGAACTTGCCTTTTCCATCTGTCGCTGATGCTTCTTGTAAATGCCTGATTGACCTAAAAATAAATGTTTGGAGAACAAAAGTTAGTTGGCAGATCTGCATTCTTCTCTGTTTCCAGCACTAGTAACTCACGGCCTTGAATTCCCCAGTTCTCAACGGAAAGGGCTGGCCCAGATGGCTTTAGAGCACTCTCCCTAAACAACATCATCTCTGCTAGGGGACACCTTGCCTTGTCTGGGGCTCAAGCCTGCGAGTTAAGGACGCCCTCTAATGGCCAAAAAAGGTCTGGCAGGGGCCTGGGTGTGAGGGGATGACAAAGCAAAACAATCATTTCAAACCTCTTGAATCTCTCCCTCCACCTACAATCTTTCATTCCCACAACTACACCATCCCGCAACACAGCCGTGGACAGCACCTGCTACCTGGAGAACATGCTCCCCCCACCCAACACCAAGGCTAGAGGCTGATTTCTAAAGTCTAGGTCTAGGAGCTCGGGAGCACTTGGTTTCCCGCAAACTCCCTGTTTCACTGACTGGAGATGCAGAACTCGGCTGGACAAAGTGTCGGCCTCCAGGGAGTCCGTCTTCCTGCTGCGATGTGCTGGGTAGCTCACTACAGCACCAGAGCAGCATTCACACATTCCCGGACGAGCACTGCGAGGGGCCGGAGTTCTAGGTAGAGCGCAGAGGCTGGGAGGGAGGGACTGCCCCAGAACGATGGCAACAGCCCAGGCCGATCCACCCAGGGGGAGGACGGGTCTTACATGGGGGCTGAAGTCCTCACAGGCCACTCACTCTCTATCTGACCATGACTATAAGCCTTTTCTCCTAAGGACAGCCACCCCTCCCGCCACTGCTGCCGCTGAGTCATCTTCCCACCCAGGAGAACTGGATGGCGCAGGGCAGGAGAGTCAGCTAGCACAAAGCTCGCACCAAACCCAAGCCAGCAGATTCTGAGCGCTTCAAAAGAACCTTCGATACTATTCCTTAAGTCTCCTCTAGGACCTAGTTTTACATCTTACAGCAACTTCCAGAACCTTCACCTTCAAGAACCTTGCCACGCAGCACCTGCTCGTTGGTGCTGAAATGAACAAGCGGCAGGAAATGGCCACTCGCAGCCCTGAGGCTCACCCGGATCTTCCCCAAATCCCCAAGTCCCTTCTTTCTGACAGGAGTAGTAGATGGGAGAGAAGGGATCAGACTGTTCGAGAACAGTCAGGCGCTCTATCTGAAGACAGCGCTGGTCATCCTGCTACAGGTGCCTGAGCTGCCTGCACCCGGTAGGACGCGGGGTGGCGGGAGCGCTCAGAAAGCCTCCTTCGTGCTTTGTGGTCTCTGCTGGAAACTAGCCACTGCACAGCTACGTGCGCCGGTGTGATGGGTGACAGAGTAAGGATCAAGACTTAGTCTGATGGGCTGGAATAAGGATTACACTCCACTGGCACCATGTTCTAAATAATCAGAATAACGGAAAGAAGATAAATCCCAGGATCCGGGAAAATAAGAATTTACTTCATGAGACCACTGCAGTGTGGACCACATCATTTCTAATGGAAAGCAGGTAAATATATTTTTAATAATTTTACTCTGGGGGCACCTGGGTGGCTCAGTCAGTTAAGCGTCTGCCTCCGGCTCAGGTCATGATCCCACGGTACTGGGTTCGAACTCCATATCTGGCTCCTGATTCAGCCGGAAGCCTGCTTCCCCCCTCCCTCTGCCTGCTGCTCCCCATGCCTGTCCTCTCATTTTGTCAAATAAATAAAACCTATAAAAAATAAAATAAAAATAAAAACTTTATTCAAAAAGAAGTAACTGCTCCCAAACAGCCATGAACTAGTTCACTGTAGCGTTGTTGCCAGAACTTTCTCCCTCTACTGCTTCCTACAGAACCAGTAATTCCCTTCACCTGGCATCAGATTTAACAAGGACATTTTCTCTCATCAACCACGGACAGGGTGCTAATGCCTCTTTACAGAACTGGAGCACAGCGTGTGCACCTCCGGCCTGCAGTTCTGGGGATACGTACGTGGTGATGCGCTGGGCCTCTCGCTAGTTCAGAATCACGCACTCCCGCACTCTGTGTCTAACCCGGCAAGAAAAGGCTATTTATGGGATTTCAATTCCCTTCCCTCTAAATCATGCTGCTAGGTTACGCTGCTGCTGAGCTCTCGTTTCCAGACCCTTCTCTATTGTCTCCTCTGTGTTCAAAGCCACGGCGCCAGATCCGCTCTGCCAGAATGCACTGAGGAACTGGATGCAAACGCCAACCCCAGGCTCCTGCTGGAGACGGACCCACGTCCGCTGGGGAGCCAGGAGGCTGCATGTGTCCGGCAGATGCCCTACGTGACTCGGACCGGACTGGGAAAGGCTGGTTCAGCAGCCTGGTCTTGTTCGGCACACAAGCCCCAGGGCGCACCGCAGCCCCCCTCCCTGCGGGGGACTCACCACACCACTGGGAAGAGGATGGCTCCACAGCACAGCAGGTCTACCAGAAACAGAGAATCCTTCCACAAGCCATACTCCGTAGTCCCCTCCTCAGTGGACTCTATGATGATGTAGGCCACATTCGCCAGAACCTACAGGACACGAGAAGTGGCTGAAGCCCTAATGCAAGGGCAAATCCCCACAACAGCAGTCCCAGGAGGGGGTGGCCCCTTGGGCCTGCAGGTCCCCAACCACGGTCACAGCATTCTCTCCAGTGCCATGTGTTTTTCAGAATACTATGCTCTCCCCTCAGGGAGTGTCTCTGTGTCCTCCTCCTGAGCCTGTGACTGCCCTGAGCAACAGTTAGGTGGCAGTGAGGCCGTGTGATTTCCAAGGTCGGTCATACAAAGGACACCACCTCTGGCCGGCCAGCTCCCTGGGGACACACGCCTTTGGAGCCCTGAACCCTCTTGTAAAAGTCTGGCTACCCCGAGCCAGCCAAGGTGGAGAGACCAGGCAGGGAAAGAGATTTGGCTGAGGAGCCCCAGCGTTTCCCAGTCTGCCTCATCGAGTCTTCCCGGCCCTGGGGACAGAGGTAAGCGAAGACTTCGAGGAAGCCCCAGCCACTGTCGGACCGCAGGAGGCCCCCACGTTGGACCTGCCCAGCGCAGCCCTTCCTCAACTCCTGACCCACATAGAATGTGAGACAGTATGTGGTTATTGTTGCTCTCTGTCACTGCATTTGGGGTGATCTATGATGCAGCACAAATCACCAGGACACTCTGCTTTGCTTTTTGGGCTCCGAGGCCTGAGCAGAGCCGCTCAGGTGCTGAATGGCAGGCACCGCCCACCCCAGTCAGCCACGATGCCCAGATTCCTCAGGCCCTGCCCTCAGAGCCAGCCCGAGCTGCCCGACGGTGTTCTCGCAGTGCCAGAAACGTTCTGGAAAGTCTGGGCGCACATCTGTACATCAATCACTTCTCGCTCAGAAGCGTGCACTGGCTCCCCATGACCACGAAGAAGGAGTTTCCGTTTCCAGGCTGATATTCAAGGCCTTCTCAGACTAGTCCCCGTGCTTATCGATGCACGACTTCCTTGTTTTTGATGGTTTCAATGTCCCATTTCCTCAGAGCTGCCTGCCATGGAACCTCGTGGTCAGCCCCTCGGGGTGTGAGAGAGGGAAGCCGGCAAGGGCTGTGCCCCATCACATCCCAGTCTGGATGGGGAAGGAAGGTCTGCATGGAGGGACAATAGCTGCTCTGGGGGGACAGGGCAACCATAAGCGGTGCAACACAGGGGGAGGAGGGCCCAGGCCCTCCCTTCAGAGCTGGGAGGCGCTGGCAGGCTGCGGAACTCAGCGTGGCCGGCGCTGCGGCCACGGGAGACCGACCGCCGGGACCCGGACGGCTCCTCAGCATCGCTGCTCACTCGCCAGCAGCACCACGTGTCCCCGCTACTGTTTTTCTGCCTGCCACATTTCTCTCCTTATACATCGAGGCAAGGCCGGTCTATACCAAGAAGGCTTCTAGATCGCTCACATGTGGGCCCTTCGTCTCTCCCCTGGGAAACCTACAGCCACTGGTCTGTACCATTCACCGGGTGTTAACACGAATCCCTCTGTCGTTAACGGGAAGGTGGCTTTGCTGCGAACACTGCCAGACTGCCCATCACCAGAGCAGGTGAATCTGTAGGCCCAGGGAATTGTGCCCTTCCTTGCTCCCCTTGCCACACCCACACTGGGCTCCCAAATGAGAGCAGACAAGGAGAACAACTTTATCAAACACATGCTCTTTGGATGAACAGAGCAGTCAGGCATCCATGCTGGGCCCTCTGTTTACTGAGTTCTTTATGCCCAATCTCTGCCTCTCCCAAGGTTCCTCTCCCGAGCAGCTCACAACCAGGCAAGGGTGGCCTTGGCCGAGGGTCGCAAACCAGGAAGGGTTTAATAATAGTTGCCCTGATGTCTACTTAATATCCCACCTTGTGAGAACTCGCCGGTGTCATTCACAGTTTTACAATAACTTGTTAATTAAAACACTATACAGCTGGGCTCGGCTAGAGGGCAGCCAGAGGCGCGAAGGCAGGCCATCATGTCCTGACTTTCCAGCAGATCTCTACTCAAGTGCAGGCATCCATAAGCCGTTCGCCACATGAGTGACGGCAGACAGCTCTCAGGGCTGTGACCCGAAGCCTCGGTGTGCCAGAATCCAGAAAGGGAACCCCAGCAGTAGGAGCCGGGGTTTCTGGGTGAGCCACCTCCCTCTGCCTGGACAGGCCCAGAATCAGGGTCCCTTTACCTGGAGCGGGATGACGATCATGAAGATCTTTTTGTCTTTATCGGAAAGGATGTGCTTAATGAAAGCCCAGCCCGTGCCGATGAGCGCGATGGTGATGAACAGGAGCGCCCCTTTCAAGCTGCAAAAGAAAAAGTTTCAGACACCAGTGGCCTCTTCAGATTCTCCGCAAGTTCCACTGCTCAGCTCCTTCATGACTTCACGGGCTTCTTGGGGAAGACAAGGGGCCAAATTTAGGAAATGCCTCTTAAGTGAAGCAGCACACAAACGGGTTCGCCACGTCCCCCACCTCCGTGCAGCTAACCCGCCCCACGGACGCAGCCCCCTCCTGAGCCAGCAGGACCGAGTTCTCAGGTCTGGACAGCCACCCGGGTGCCACACAGCTCCGGCGTGGCAGGAACCCGGACAAGCTGCCATGGGCGGGCAGCGACTGTTCATGCGAGGCGGGTCCCTCCCCACCATGGCCTCCCCAGCTTCTCCAGCACGTCGCCTTGTGGGATGAGCACTTCTCGGGTCACTCTGTGTACTTACAGGTGAGTGATGTAGTACACGACAGCCCAACCCTCGATGGGAAAGCCCTGGGACGAGATGTAGTGGTAGTCGATCTGCAACGGAACAACCGCATTTCAGAGGCCCATCTCCCACATGCCTTCACGCACAGGGAAGCAGAGCACGTACCACCACAGCACCTCACCATGTGGTGGGGGGGTGTCCCCTCACCCCAGCCACTAATACCTCACTTGTCAATTCACTATCCAGCATGTGAAGGCACTGCCAAGGTCAGGCAGCATGAGAAACCTGCCACAAGTTTCGACACCACCAGCACACAGGCCCGGTCCCTCTCTTGAGGCAGGAGATTCACTCGGGCAGACAGCTGCCTGTTATTTTCTTTAAAATCCCCAAGGACCAGGATGCCTTGGGGGCTCAGCCAGTGAAGCGTCTGCCTTCAGCTCAGGTCATGATCCCAGGGTCCTAGGATGGCATCCCGCATGGGGCTCCCACCAGCAAAAAAAAAAGAAAAAAGAAAAAATCCAGGTGGAGTCACACAGTTTCCCCTGTGCTGTTGTTTTGTCTTTTTGAAAAAAAATCTGTGCATTTCGAGCTACTTAAAGCCACCAGCACATTTTAATTGAAAAGGCCAGTTTCAGTAGTGCACTCGCAATGCTTCCTGGCACGACTCACAAACGCCAGCACTGATGTCTTCGTAGACCTTTCATCCGAACAGCTATCTGGACACTGAAGTGACTCAAGGGTCTTGTCATTCATTAACAACCAAGTTCCAGAAAGATTCTTTTCACTTAGATCCAAATGGGAAATGATCCAAGTAACTGTCATTTCCAGAGACTGTAACTGCACGCATTACTACGCCTCTGACGCCAACACTCTGAAGGGCAGGACAGCGCGTGTCTGGAGACTGTCAACCTCCCAAGTGCAGCTGGCGGGTGCCACTGGGCAGCTGTGACCTTCCTCCCGCGGGCAGATGCACTTCACTCCGCGGCCAGACAACTATTCCAAGTGCAAGCGCAACTCACACGCCTCCATGTGTAGAGCATCACTGTTCTCTCAAGTACGCTCACACCAAGCTTCAAATCAAATGGGCACACGGGGAAGGAGAAAAATCAAGCCACAGAAACAATGTGGCAGGTGGCACTCTAATCTTGAAAAAAAAAACAAACAAAAAGGAACAAAAACAAGGAAGGTTCTAGGAAAACTCTGGGTATGTGCGTTATGTTGGAAGCTGTCTCCGGGCTCAGGTCACTGACTGAGGGTGTCAGGATTTATCCCTGTGACGGCCCCTCCCACACCAAATGCCTCATGAGAGAAGGTCTACCCTCATCTTATTTCCCACTGACCTAGCTCCCCTTCCTTCCACTTCGTTTTTCCTGACTGTAGAGACACCGTATCTCATTTCGTAAATGACCAGAAACGTGAATACATACCGCGTGGAACACCAAGGAAAGAGACTTTGTGAAAGGAAGGGCCGCCATCAACCAGTGAATTTTAAATACGTCATTCCTATAAAAATGGAGAGAAAAGAATTAAAGGAATATCCCAGGGGCGCCTGGGTGGCTCAGTCAGTTAAGCATCTGCCTTCGGCTCAGGTCATGATCTCAGGGTCCTGGGATCCAGCCCCGCATCAGGCTCTCTACTCAGCATGGAGTCTGGTTCTCTCTCACTCTCCCTCCGTGCTCCTCCCCTCCCTCTCAAATAAATGAATAAAATCTTTAAAAAAAAAAAAAAAAAAAAAGCAATATTCCATTCCCCCACCCTCCAAAGGATGGCTAAAGCTCCGGGCATCAGATGCATTTATAAGGAAGCACTAAATATTATCTAAGCAAACCACACCCATGAAGCACTTTGGAGACCTCATTTCCGCCAACAGAAACAGCCCCGACAGAGCCCCAGAGTCCCCTCTTGTGCAGTCTGTGTTGTGACTGGAGTAGCGTTAGGCACTGAAGCCAGACAGGACGAGTTCCAGCTCCTGATAAGATGGGAACCCGTGCAGCCTGCCAGCTTTGTGCCCAGTAACCACCCTGGAAAGGCCCCAGAGTCAAGCATGAGGTGACAGGATCTACAAAACTGGCAAGAAGCCCCTGGGGGAGCAGAAGGTGCCCAGGCTTGGCTGTGGGGGCCAGCGGCGGCCCGGAGTGGGGCAGGAGGAGCCAGGCGGCAGGCAGGACCGAGGCCAGACACACCAGGCCAGCGGGGGAAGTGTCGGCTCCCACCGCCGTGCCTACACAGACACCCGTCCACCTTCGGGCTGCCTCCTCGCCCTGGGACTAATGTCCTAGGACACCAGACCATTTAGCAGACAAATGTAAAACTCTTAAAGTACATAAAACTTGACTAAGAGCCACAGAGGAAACTCATACTCTCAGATATCAAGACGTTCTGCGAAGCCACAGCAGGCAAACGTGTGGAACGGGTACAGCATTAGACAAGCCGACAGAAGAGAAAGCCTGACAGAGAACAGAAAGCCTGACACATGGAGGCTTGACATAGGAGCGATACGGGGGCAGCAAATGAGGAGGAACGGGGAGGACTGTTTAAAAACCGGCACGGGGAAAGTCAGCTCAGAACTGCGTGCGCAACGCACACACTGCCGGCTCCCCACTTCACAGTTACATAGAGGAGCACTCCAGAAGGGTTCCAGGGCTAAACACAACACACACCTTTTGTGACCTTGGAGTAGGGAAAGGCTTCTTCCAAGACCCACGGCCCAAAAGATTATAATTAGAGAGCTCTAACTCCATTAATATTAAAGACTTTTATTCAACAATGAATACCCCAGACAAGTTTAACAGCCTGGGAGAAGAAATTGGCAATGTCTAAGACAGACAAAGGACTGATATCCAAAATATCCAAGAAACTCCTGTGAAGCAACAAGAAAATGACAGAAAACCCAACAGAAAAATATGCAAAGCCTAACAACGGTCACAAGAAGGGGAGCCCAAGGGGCACCTGGGTGGCTCAGTGGGTTAAGCCTCTGCCTTCGGCTCGGGTCATGATCTCGGGGTCCTGGGATCGAGCCCCTCATCAGGCTCTCTGCTCAGCGGGGAGCCTGCTTCTCTCTCTCTCTGCCTGCCTCTCTACTTGTGATCTCTGTCAAATAAATAAATAAAATCTAAAAAAAAAGAAGAAGAAGAAGGGGAACCCAAAGGGTCAGCAAGTCCCTAGAAAGATATTTCACATCATTAGTATTTAGGAAAATGCAAAATAAAATGAAGTACCAGTTTACACCCATCAGACTGGCCAAAAATAAGATGTCAGTGTTGGTACACAGGGAGACAGGAGCCCTGCTGCCCCACAGGCAGAAGTATAAACTAGCAGAGGTGACCTGGCAGCATTCAATGAAATTAAGTAAGAATTTACCCCATACCCAGGGCACCTTCTTCTGGGAGTGTACCCCCGAGAGAGCCATAATGGGACAAGGCCAGGGTAGGGGTGGGAGGTCATGGCCACACTGTTTGGGGGAGCCAGGGGATGGAGGCCGAGCCTCACTAAAGGGAGAGGTAAGTAGAATGTGGGGATACACACTATGGAGTAGCTAGAAGTTAATGAACTAGACGGACACACGGCAATGTAATTAGATCGTAAGAAAGATACTACTGCATGAAAAACGAGAACAGTATCTGTAGATAGTATGGTTTATAGAAGTTAAAAATACAGGCACTATCAATAAACATGAGCTATTTATAAGAATACACGCATGCCCAACACCACCTACTACCTGCGTGTGAGCAGCTGCGAGAAGCATGAGCGAGGGCTCGGAAATGAAGCGGGGAAATGAAGGGGCCGTGTGCGAATGATAAGGCGGGCGTGTCACCAACTGACGCACACTCCCTTTCCGGCCTGATTTCCTCCCTGGTACTTTCCTGTCTGCGGCCTACCTACTTGAAGGTCAAGAAGGAAGTCAAGGCCAGAGGAGTCTGTCACTCCCGAACAGCACTGAGAACCCTGGGTACCTAGAGTGCAGAAGCGCACACTGCCGAGCCCGGCGCTCGCTCCCGCGCCCCGGCACCCTCGGTGGCAGCCCTGGCTGAGACATCAGCCACAGGGCGGTGATGTTTGGGGGAACACACGCTCCACAGCCACAGCAGCTTGGCACAAATACAGGTTCTACGCTGGCCACCTTAACCCTTCTAAGCCTCGCTAACCTCTCCTGAAAATGGGGCAGCGGCTGCTTCAAGGGGCAGCTGGATGATGAGCGGAAACTACCGGCATCAGGGGCCTGATGGGGCAAGGAGCGGGCACCGAAAGCGATCGGCCGTCTTCCCCTTCCCACCTCAAGGGCCCAGGGCAGCACCCAGAGAGCCGAGAGGAGCCGCTTAATACTCGGCAAGTAGATGTGGGCGCCGCTCACAGCTGTGGCAGGTGTCGCCGACCGTGTCTCTCTTTTCCCCTCTCAAGACCTCCAGAAGACGTGGCAAAGATCTCCCAGTTCCTTCCAGCAAGAAGGGACTGGGAGCCTCTGAAATGCACGAAGCCTTGGAGTCACATCCTTTACGTGACTCAAATTTCCAACCCAACAGCACGGCCTGTAAGTCTCCTGGAAACACACGGGACAGGGCGGAAGGCTTGCATTACACACCCCGGTTGTGTCTACTGCCCTTCAGCAAGAAGCTAACACGTGCTGTACAAAGTAGGTCAGCCTCACTTAACCACGGAGTTAAAACTTCCCACAATTTTACGTAAGTGAACCAGTGATAGTGACTATTATATCACTAAATACACAGAACGAAAATACCGCTGAACACCTACCCGGTCAACTGTCTTTTATGTACCTCCGATTTGCATAGCATCCTGATCTGCAAAGGCCTCCAGAACACAGTATTTCAGGGACAATCACATAACACACCTAAGGTTCCAAGACCCTTAGAGGAAAGCGGGGCAATGACCCTGTCCAGTTTTGTGGCTCAGGGAGTGAAGGGAGTCACGCAGGTGGGAGCAGTCCATGTTTACACTTGAAATTGGGCCTTGGGCTCCCACTTCTTACTTTTCTAATAAAGGCAGAAGCAAAACTTTATTTAAAAACCTTTTTATAGGGCGCCTGGGTGGCTCAGTGGGTTAAGCCGCCGCCTTCGGCTCAGGTCATGATCTCAGGGTCCTGGGATTGAGGCCCGCATCGGGCTCTCTGCTCAGCAGGGAGCCTGCTTCCCTCTCTCTCTCTCTCTGCCTGCTTCTCCGTCTACTTGTGATCTCTCTGTCAAATAAATAAATAAAATCTTTAAAAAAAACCTTTTTATAGCCTGAATTGGTAAGATTCTTCTTTTCTTATTAAAGGCTGCCTGATCGCCTAGTCCAAACATGACCGTGCAGGGTTCTTCACAAGTAAACAAGTAGCTCTTCCCATCTGGTGAGCGGAACGAATCTTATGCCAAGTAAGAACCAGCGCTGTCCCCGCCAGAGCTCCCCACTCCAGCTAGGCGCGTCCACCACACGACAGTCAGGCCACCGGGGACTAGAGAGGTCGCAATTTCTGCCCAATGCGCCAGAGAAAGAACGATCTGGGTGCCTATTTTATGAATTTAAATTAATCCACATTATGATCCCATAGTCACACACCATCATTTAACTTAGTTTATGGGCCTTATAACAAGCACTTCACACTATTCTCTAACTGAAAATTAGTATTTTATTCTGTTTCCTGGTTGGAAGGAAACAGATTTAAACACTCGGGACCCCACGCCCCCCCACCGCACATGCAGGTGCTCCCTTTAAGAACTGAGTATAGGCAAGTAAAGCCTTCGGGTTTCAGAAGAGAGGCCAAGAGCCAGGCAGGTGGGCTTGGAGTGAGTTCTCTCCAGTGATAAGCCTCTGGAAGCCAACACTTCTCCCCTGTCAGGCTCTGAGCAGACACAGCACCGAGCAGCAACGCCCTGCTCTCGGCAGGCCGTGGGCCACTGTCGCTAACCTCTTCTCCTGTACAAACAGCCCCCGGATGGGACCGACGAGCTCACTCTGAGTCCTAGACCCTAACACCATCACCATGGAAACACTTGCTTATACATTTTGTTTTGTCTGTCTATTATTAAAATATTTGGATCTGCGTTTTAAACAAAGCAAAGGGAAGTAAACAAACACCAGGGCGGGGGCGCCTGGGTGGCTCAGTCAGTTAAGCCTCTGCCTTTGGCTCAGGTCATGATCCCGGGGTTCTGGGATCGAGCCCCGCCTCGGGCTCTCTGCTCAGCAGAGAGCCTGCTTCCCTTCCTCTCTCTCTGCCTGCCTCTCTGCCTACTTGTGATCTCTGTCAAATAAATAAATAAAATCTTTAAAAAAAAAAAAAAAAAAAAACAAACACCAGGGCATGCAAAGGCTCCCCACACAGCAAGGCTCGCACAGTCTCCCTGTTACAGAGAAGAAGCCCGTTGAAGAGGACAAGGTTGCCGGGGCCAATCCCTCTGAGGCTAAGAAGCCAGCAGAAGGTGAAATTATGCACCTTTGAACACACTCTATGCCGGATGGCTCAAGGAAGTCACAACTCACCTTCGTTTTCGAAGGATGTGAATCCAGATGGTCCCAGAAAGGAAAAAGAAAAAGGCCATAGAAATGTATAATTTAGGGAGGGGGATCTCTCCTGCGGAGAGGTAGCTGTCAGGGTTCTTCTCTGTGATCTCAATCTGAAACAAACATGAAATTAATGTTTACTTTTCAGGAACAGATCATCCCATAGTCTGCAATCTGTCACCAAAGCTGCTTCCCTGGGCTAAGGAAGCATCAGCAGGTAACAACCACATTCCTAATGCACAGGTTCAAGTGTAAAAACATCCCAAGTTGCTTTGTATTTTTTTGTTTGTGAATCCTCTGCAGAGATGGGACTCTGGCCACATTTTTCTCCTCTCTGTTTAAGTGCTGTTAAAACCTACTCTTACAATGAAATCATATGTCTCACATTTTACAGGGCTGACAAAATCCATGAGGAACACCTTCTGTACAGTACTCACATCAAGACTGAAGGAAAACTTGTCGCCAGACCGCACTTCGTTCCCAGAGCATTTATGGAAATAAAGACTGTAGAGGCCTTCTTGGTCATTGGTGCTGATGTTAAAGAAAAACTGAAAGTGAAGAAGACAAAAATTGAAGAGTACCCAAATCCTCAGCTAAATGCTTAAATCTTAAAGATTATGAATGTTACGGACAGAAAAAAATACAGATTTCTTAATTTCTTATCGGATTCTCCCAGAGAAGAAACGGATGTTTCCGGGACACGTGGGTGGCTCAGTCGGTTATGTACCTGCCTCTGGCTCAGGTCAGGATCCCTGAGTCCTGGGATCAAGCCCTATGTTGGGTTCTCTGGTCAGTGGGGCACCTGCTTCTCCCTCTCCCATGCCTCTCCCCTCCCCCTGCTCATGCTGGCTCGCTCTCTGTCTCTCTCAATTAAATAAGTAAAAATCTTTAAAAAAAATCCAAAGTAAAATAAACAGATGTTTTCTTATTCTGTGATTCCGTCTCAATATTTTGTTATAATAATTTTCAAGGTAGTAGGAAAAGGGGTCAGAACCGCTCAGGGAACACCTCCGTACCCACCACTGAGGTTCTACGACCTTATTTTGACCCAGATGCCCCTACCCGCGGTGGCTCCCACTGAGGACTGCAGGGATAACCTACGAAGCAGGTACCTTATTTCCAAGTCAACATACTCTTTTGCTCTTTAGGTAAAAAATACTCCTGGAGAAAAGGAGGCTCCTCTGCTACTTGAAAAGGTAAAGGACAAATATTCCCTCATTAAAACTGACTCCTGTGATTTCAGGCAAGAGAGGGGCTACGTTTTCTACATGGGCACACTTTCCTGTTTCTCACATGTTTCATGGGTACAAATGAAGTTTAATGTAAGTCCAGACATTTTATATATAAGACCAAAGAATACGACTCCTTGGTCAATTCTATGGAGCATTTTGCTAGAAGCCTAAAATATGCTGCTTAGATACATGATAAACTGTAAAGAGAAGCCAGGAACTGATAGGAATGATATTTTTCTTAACAGCTAGGTAGGGATGTGAGGGTAACATGGGGTCTCTGGGGTGCTGTCACTATTCTATTTTTGGTCTCCACGATGGTTACAAAGTTATTATTTATAATCATTTGTACTCGACATAAATACTATGTGCTCTTCTGCAAGCGTACTATACCACCCAGTTAAAAAGGATAGGGAAGGGGTGCCTGGGTGGCTCAGTCAGTTAAGCCTCTGCCTTCGGCTCAGGTCATGATCCCAGGGTCCTGGGATCGAGCCCCGAATCGGGCTCTCTGCTCAGCAGGGAGCCTGCTTCCTCTTTTCTCTCTCTCTCTCTGCCGCCTCTCTGCCTACTTGTGATCTCTGTCAAATGAATAAATAAAATCTTTAAAAAAAAAAAAGGGTACGGAAGAAAGAGACATTTGACAAGAAGACTGAAATAAAATACCAAGAATATTCAAGGTGAAATTATTACTTTGTTAAATTATGTCCTGAACTCAGCAATGTAAACCTAAGAGCATGTGTTTTAGTCCACACAGGGGGGAGCCAGAATACGTTTCTAAACATAGTAACTTTCAGTTCAAAAAATAAGAATCATATGAAGTTTCTAAGAAATAGCTATTTTTTAAAAGGTCTGTATAATCTTCATGGTTGATCAGAGTAGGCACCTGACCTTAAAAAAAAAAAATCAAACAAAAGTGTATGTTTTAGAGTGGGAATAAGAGCTAACAGCCCCTTTCCTGCTTTAGGCAGATAAAATATCATCTCTGCTCTGTGGATAGAGCAGAAAAGCTCACAATGACTTCCTTGTCCAAAATCAGGATACTAAGTAGCAGAACAGCAAGGTGTCACCTACAAACTTCATTACAAGGAGAAGGGAAGCCAGAGGAAGAGGCAGACTATCCGTCCACTGCCTGTTTCCTGTGTCCTGAGAAGCCTGTGAACTGGTTATCTCAATGTCCTTAATCACGACACTCCTCCTAACACAAAGCTTTAGTCACTGACAAGTATGTATATCCTATCATGCTTTCCTTGGTGATTTTTTTTTAAAGGCTTCAAGAAATTTCAAAAAAATTACCTTATTAAGAACTTTTTTAAAAAGATTTTATTTATTTATTTGACAGGCAGAGATCACAAGTAGGCAGAGAGTCAGGAAGAGAAGCAGGCTCCCTGCTGAGCAGAGAGCCCGATGCGGGGCTCGAACCCAGGACCCTGGGATCATGACCTGAGCTGAAGGCAGAGGCTTTAACCCACTGAGCCACCCAGGCGCCCCCACTTCATTTTTTATTTTTTTAATTTTATTTATTTATTTGAGAGAGAGAACACAAGCAAGGGGAGTGGCAGGCAGAGGGAGAGGGAGAAGCAGACTCCCCGCCAGGCAGGGGGAGCCAGATGTAGGACTCGATCCCAGGACCCTAGATCATGACCTGAGCCAAAGGCAGTCACCCAACCAACTGGGCCACCTACACGCCCTTAATAAGCACTTTAAAGTGAGAGAAAGAAAAGAGAAAAAAGTACCTTTTGTATTTTCTTAAGGAGGCAGTAAAAAAGTGATTAAACACAAGGATGGGCCTTGGTGTCAGACAAACCTGGGTCTGAATCCCCACCTTGGGCAAGTTACTTAACCTCTCTGAGCCTCAGATTCCTTATCTGTAAAAGGGAATAATAACAGTGCCTCCTCCATAGAGCTGTTGGGAGGATGAACAGAGGTAATGACCATGGGTAAGCACGCCACACCCATTCCAAGGGCCCCATTATTACTAATGGACAGACTATTATTACAGGCCAGGCCCAAGATTAGGGATTTCATTTGCATGAGAAAGAAAACAAATTAAAAAAAAAAACCTCTCCCTTATGGCCACCCTCTAAAGGGAGCCACAGAAAATAAGCATAATAAATGAGTACATAGCAGTGTTGGAAAGAAGTGTCAAGGGGAAACCAGCAGGAGGAGGGGAGGGAAAGAAGCTGCATTTAAAACAGGGTGAATGGAGGAAGCTTTGCTGAGAATATGACATTTGAGCAAAGGCTTGAAAGAGGAAGATATTAATCACTGGCTTCTGAGGGACAAGCATTCCTGCCTGCGGGTACAGTCAGAGCAGAGCCTAAGGCCTGATCATTTCTACGAGCAGCGAGGTGGCCTCTGTGGCTGGAGCGGAAACAGGAGCCAAGGTCAAAGAGGAGACTGCAGCCAGACTGTATGGCCTTGCAGACCAGGAAGGGCTGGAGCTTTTGCTCTGAGGCAGATGGGAAGCATCCACAGGCTCTCAATGAGCTATTAATTCCTATGGTCACTAAATTTAAAGACCGTGTAAAAACTGTTAGGCAAAATAATGTATGCTAAAAGAGATCAGAACAGAGGATGCAGGGATGGGGGACACTGAGGGGGTAAAAACATAGAGAATCTTGGTAGAGAGTGGGAGGCACAGGTGCGTGCATTTGTCAGAACTGATCGAACTGCATATTTAAGACCTGTGCATTTCACTCTAAGCAAATTATACCTTAATTAATGAAAACTGGTTAGAAAAAGGGCAGTGATTCTTACAAATTAACGTTAAATGATTATTTGTACAGTGCTTCTAAAGCACTTTTATGTTAAAAAAAATTGATACTTATAATAACCCAATGAGATAGGTGCCATCACTATTCACTCTTAGATGATTAAAGACAAGATCCAGGAGTTTGAGAGCTAAGGTCATCAGCCAGTAAGTGAGTGCTGAGACCCTATCCAACGTCCTACCCCAACCACAAGCTGTGGTTGTGGTATGAAGAACGGGGCCAGATGGGCAGGTCACTGAACGCCACTGACCCTTGGTGAACACATCTCTAAAATCCTACCAGCGTCCTAAATGATCACCAGTGGTCCTTCTAGGTACAGAATTCTGTGCTTCTCCTGAGTGGCTCAGTGGGTTAAGCCTCTGCCTTCGGCTCAGGGTCCTGGGATCAGCCCAGCATGGGGCTCTCTGCTCAGCGGGGAGCCTGCTTCCTCCGCTCTCCCTGCCTGCCTCTCTGACTACTTGTGATCTCTATCAAATAAATAAATAAATAAATAAATCTTAAAAAAAAAAAAAAAAAGAATTCTATGCTTCTAACACACTCCAAATGGGAGGCAGCATGGGATTAAAGAGCAGCAGGGTGGGGACAGCCAGGCAGATGTGGGCCTTGTCACTCACACTGGACCTTCACAAAGTCACTCATTCTCAGAGACATGATCAGCTAAGTAGTGGGTAACAATACCCACCTTGTGGGTTTGCTACGGAGAGGGGTACTGCATTTGAGTGATGTGTAGAATGCCTAAATTATTATTCCTAAATTCAAAATTCCTTTGCAAATTCACCCTTTACACTGTAGAGATAAATCCGATGAAAATTACTCAAAGAGAAGACATACCTGAAAAGAAACTGCCCCATCACTATTGTGAACAGAAAAGGATTTCTCTCCCGTTGCCTAAAAAAAAAAAAAAAAGACACAACAAACTGTTTTAGGATGATACTGGCAGAAAATGTATACTAATAAAAAAATTAAAACAAACAAAAGCACATCCTTCTTAAATCTTAAATTTGCTGACCTTCAAAAGCTCTCTGGAAATAAAATTCACCATCCTTTCTAGATGTCTGTGATCCCCTTTCATGGAGAAAGAAACTCTTCCTCACCCACTTCCTTTTCTCAGCGGTCTCTTCTGCCCCCCACTAGCTCCCTATTCCCTCCCCCACCACCCTGATCCCCCTGGAGCGTGTCTCCATTCTTACAGCTTCAGGAGGACTACGGATGCCAACCAAGGTCATATCCCGACACTTCACCTGGACACCATTCCCAATTTCAAATGATAAGCATATTACTGTCACTGGTACAATGGACTAACTCCAGGAATGAGAAGGAAAGACCTACACCCAACAACATGGATGAACTCAAAAGAATTACGCTGAGTCAAAGAAGACAGAGCAGCGCTGAATAGGGCACTTTTGTAAAGTTCTAATCACTCATCTACAAAGGCAGATCAGCGGTTGTTTGAGGACGGGAGGAAGACGGAGGGGCAAGAGAACCTTGTGGGGTGATAAATATGTTCACCGTTTTGTGGTGGTGGTGGCTTCACCGGTGTACACTCAAGTCAAAACTTAGCAAACTGTCACTTTAAATATGTGTAAGTTACTGGATGTCATTTACCTTCAACACAGCTGTAAAAACAGAATACTGCCATCTGGACGCCCCCTTACTGATAAATCAAGATATCCCATCCCAAAATGTTCCCAATTTTTTCCTTCTGCTATTTCTACCATCTGTTCTTCTACTGAAACAAAAACAAATAAAAAAAAAACTACTTCCTTCCTCCCCCACCCGCAACACTGCCCCCATTCTTTATCCACATTCCAAGACTCCAAGTCCTTCTGCCCCTAAATCTGTACCGTCACAACCGTGTTCTTCCTGGTCCTCCTAATTTCACTGTCTCTCTCTCTGAGGCTGCTCTGCCCATGACTTTCAGAACATCTGCCCCAAACACCACCTGCATCACAGTCCTTCCTGATCAAGAACTCCTGACAACTTCCTATTTTCTGCGCCATCAATGAATACCCTCTGGTGTCTGGGCTTTTATTATCTAAGATAATAAAATAAAATAATAAAATAAAATAATAAATAAAATAATAAAATATTATCTAAGATCCCTCTCTCTGCTCCCAAAGGCCAGAACCAAGGATCTGTCATGCTCGTTCCCATTTCCAGTCTTTGCTTATGACATTCCTTCCTCTTTCCCCAAACAAATCTGCCAAACTCCAAGCCCTGACTCCTCCCCTTCCCGAGGGCTCCCCCTCACTGTCTGACCCTCTACCTTGCAAGTGCTGTACAACTCAGAACTCAATGTTACTTTGAAATTCTTCCAACCTGGTAACATTTCCTCTCCAAACAGAGAGCAACCGCCTGCGGATTAGGCATGTGTATGTGTGTACCTTTATGTCATGTACGTATATAAATATACCCCCACTCCCCCTCACATCCCCACACACATACGTTTACATATCCATCCACACACATACACACATATGTACATATACATCCAGGAAAGCTGGAAACAGGGGGTGGTCAGTTCTTACCTTTGAATCTACTGTGCTTCTTTTAGATTTTCCACTGTCTAGAAGCAGAAACATTTAGAAGACATCACTGCATGATTCAGCTTGTATCTGATTACAGTGTCATTTTCTGAGGCTCTAGCTTGTCTAATGTCAAATACTTCGAGCTAATGGAAGGTGAGGCCATGTGCTCTCTTGTACACTGACAACTCCTCAGATTCCAAAATAATTCTTGAGCCGCAGAAGCAGCAAATGAGTGTGTTACGTGATCAGTGCTTTCTAATAAAGGATAATATTTAGTCCCAACAGGGAAATCATCTCTGAATAATCCCGTGTCTGTTACTGTCAGAGCGGCCGCATGGAGTGACCTTCCTCATTCTCTGAGTTATCCTGCTTGAGAACAGACCATTGTTTCAAAATACATAGATAACATTTATTTACACACATGGAAAAATTAATAGCAAATTATAATAGCACAATTCATACTTTTTTCCCCCACAGCAAGGTGTGCTAAGACCGCCAATGGCTCCTTTCACGGAACAGAGAGGGCATCTGTGCCTTATTCTCACTTATTCTCACTTGAGACACCCTTCATAGGGAAGACAGGATTTCAAACTCCCTGCGGGAAAGAGCTTTAGAATAAAAGAAGGAAAAGAGCACTTTCCGCGCAGTGCATGCATATGAGGGCTAGAAAGGAACGGTGTGCAGACACTAAGCTACACCATCACACAGATGTAACATTTCTGCATGTCTTTTAATCTGGGTTAGAGTTTTGATAGGCTGAGAAAAAAATGTATAAATAATACAATAAACAGTGAGTTCTCTTTGAAGAACTAAACTATTAGACAACGGGGACAGTTAATAAAAGAGGCAATAAATATAAACTAGCCAATCAACGCCTGGAGATAAAATGCAGCCTCAGTAGAGAGAAGGAAAGCAAAACCAAGAATATCCTTCTTGCCTTTTACTTTGGGATTAACACAAACACACACCAAAACCCCAGTCCAGGCTAGGACATGGTGATGTGGGCACTATTCCTACAGATTTCCCAAAAGGAGCATAGAATCATACAACGCATTGGAAAGGAAATGAACACAGGCACCACTCTTCTCCAAAGCATTCATATCCTTTGAACCAAACATTTCAATTCTGGGAATCCATCCTAAAGAAGAAAGTTCTAGATAGGACCAAAGTTCTACAAATAAAGAATTCCCAATGCAGCAGTATTTATAATAGCAGACAGTGGAAATGTCTTCTTAAGGGGGAAGCTTGAGCAAATTACAGTCTCCACGTAACAGGAGGGCTGGTAAGAATGAGCTGCCTGCGAGCTGAGTGAACAGGGATGCTTGGGAAATTACAAACACGACTATGAGCTTCTCTTACTTGCTCTGCTTTCTCTCTCTCAAATAAATTAATTTAAAAAATCTAAACAGAAAAAAAAAATAAAAAAAAAAATCAACCATTCCAGACCGAGAGCCCAGAAGGAATACAGATTACTCAAGTTCTTGTGCTGCAAGGATGAAGGAACGACTTTTCTTTCCCCCACCTTCCCCCCAGTTTCCACCTTTTTAACGGTTACGTAATTTTGTATGACCCCCAAAATAACATCAATGCTGTGACTGTGTGTGTTTTTACTTGGGGACAAAAAAGAATCTACAGAGCAGGGCAGGGAAGAAGATGCTGTTCTGTGCCTGACAGCCGACCTTGTTTTGGCTGAGTCTGGTTGCCCGCTGAAACAGGGTTAGCCCCGGGCTCCTGGCTCTGGCCGAGGACCTTCTCATCCTTGCTGAAGACGATCTTTGGTAACTGCGTACCAGCTTCTGGTGGGGCTTTTACTCTCACCCTACATTCAAAATAAGAGAAAAGAAAAGAAGTTCAAGGTAATGTGATGGTCATCTGAGTGCCATGTGTTACACACTGTCTCAGTATCCAAATCCATCATCTCAGACAGTCCTTGTGAATCCCTGATGTAGATTCTAGGAGCTCCTCTGTGCACCTGCTAAAATGCGGACTTAGGAAGGTTAAGAACTTGCTGAAGAGTGGTGAGGCTAGAAGCAGCCAGGCGAGCACCCAGCATTCTCACTCTGAAGCTTACGTCCCTAGCAACCACACGGTTCTGATGGACATACTTTCCCCCTAAGCATCTATAAGGTGTTCAACAAGGGGAACGGAACAAGGGGCAAAAAACCCAGTAAGATGTTAAAGTGAACTTGAGGGGGGCATGGGAGAGGCAGCGCGCACAAGTAGTGGCCTGCTGGGATGCACTTCCTCTCTTCTCTCTTCTTAAAGATCCCATCCTACCAGTGAAGGGCAGGGGAGGCCCCACAGCTGAATGGACACGTGAGCTGAGCTAGCACGGTCGAGCTGGAGGGGAGCATTTCTAGTCCTGCCTCATGGAGGAGAGGCCTGCCCCTCTCCCTGAATGTCAGCTGACTGTAAATAATGAATTTACTCTGTTGAACACGCCATGCTATTTCAAGCTGCTCTGCCTTTGCCTTCAATGCTCTTCCCTTATTTACCTGGTGAAGTCCACTCACTTGAAGGCTCGCTGGGCCAAGAGTTGCCTGAAGCCTTGCCTCGTCCTCTGCAATTCACCAGTGTCTCTGCCCCACTATCTCGCTCTACTGCCGGGATCATCTGTATTGGTGTTTGGCCTCCCTTGGCCATCTCCAAGCTCCTTGGGAGTGGTACCTCTGTCTCCCCCATCATGTTCTTAACCTCCAGCACTCAGCACAGTATTTGGCACATGGCGGACACTCAGTAACTGATAGCTTAACTACCGAATTCCCTGTAACTTTACTTGAGGATGGAACTGAAGGAACATGAGAATTACTTACTCACTTCTGGAGATGTCTAGGATTAGAAGGGTGACAGAGACAGACTGCTTTTTTAAAATACAGTAATTCACATCTTCATCCTGAGGAAGGAAGACCCCTCTTATTCACTCACACTAGAACAAGGCAAATAAATGATCCAACCTCCAACCCAAACAACACAACTGTGCCCACAGCTCAGACATGCGGGGTAGTCCAAGCAGCCACCACCGCAAGAAAAGAGCATGGACAGAAGCAGGGTGCTCTCACCCAGTATCCTGGGCTCACATGAAGGGAGGGATGAGGTCACATGTGCAGTGCTCACCAGATAAGAAGAAAATCCGTCATTCTTTGTGCGGTCCAGGCTGAATCCAATCTAAGGGGGGCAAAAAGAGTAGAAGTAAATACCAACACGATACTCTGGCATCCATACCTTTCTTACTCAAAGAGCAAAAAAAGTGATTCTTTGGCCTAGGCTTCTCATGGTTTTCTTAGCGTTCGTTTTATAAAAGGGATTGCTAATTACTAAAATTATTTAAGAATTACAACTTACATGTTCAAAGTAAAACTATTTGATGCCTGTTCACAAGTTTAATTTTCTCCATGTTCCGAGACTTCGTATTTAAGTGTGGGGTGAAGCTCCCATCTGAGCAACAGAGAAGGGTAAAGCCCTTGACCTCCTGGGAAGGCACTTACGGTTGTGTCCTTGTCTGTGGCTCCCGCAGGGTCATTTACGGAAAGGCTGCTGACATTAACCACCATGTACCCGTCCTTGAAGAATCCAAAGGTGTTCAGGTGAACCTTATGCCTCACATCGTCCTGAAAAGATTTAGAGCGGTAGAATTAGTAATAGGAAGAAGTTAACATGTTTATTTAAACTACTTATTTGCTTGAAAAGTATGGTATCTAGCTAACAAGTCACTGTTTCATATACTTGGCAATATAGATAGCACCTTATCTTGCTCCATAAGCTGAAAAATACTCATCAGAAATTCATAAGATAGCAACAGTTTTGCAGAAGGAGGCACATCATAGATTGAGTTCATTCCCATGCATACGTAAGGTCCCAGGACTGACCTGGTGATCAAGTGGAATGGGAATTCCAGGGAAAGAGGAACAAGGTTTTCGTCATGCTCACAAGCTTCCTGCTGGCAAAGGCCTGGAATCCAGCAGGCACTCAAAATATATTGGGGGGGGAGAAGCGGCCAAAGCTGCCCCCGGAATACACTCCTTTTTATAAACCTTCTTATGAGTCTTAATGAATCTGCCTCCTCCCACTGCAGGATGATAAGGGCTACCGACATTACTCTCCTGATTTATAATACAAGTTTTTCTACATTTGCATCTAAACATGATGTTTCATATGACAGGTCTTCAGGAAACAAAGCCTTATGCAAAAGGAATCCGGGAACTAGCCAGCTGGAGACAGATCTCTGGGACATAGGATAATCCTCAGATTTGCTGAAACTGAGCACGTGGGCAAATGCCTACTACAGCGGCTTGAAACGGCCTCAAAGTCGTGATTCCAATCTCAACTAAGCCAATAAATTTCAAGGCCGGGAGAACCACATTGTGAATACTTCTCAAGTTGAGGCTCCACCGAGAAATGTCCTGCTGTGTAAAGTCATGAGTTTTATTTTTACTTTTTTTTAAAGATTTTTTTTTTTATTCATTTGAGAGAGAGAGAGAGAAGGAATGAGTGGGGGAAGGGGGAGAGGCAGAGGGAGAGGGAGAAGCAGGATCCCCGCTGAGCAGGGAAACCTGACACGGGGCTGGATCCCAGGACCAGGGGATCAAAACACGAGCTAAAGGCAGATGATTACCCAACTGAGCCACCCTGGGGACCAAGTCATGAGTTTTATATAGAGAATCATTTGCCTAAATGAGAGCACCTTCGGTAAGTCCGCAATAAGCTAACAGTTGTGAAGTAGCTCCTGAGTGTCAGGTGCCAAGCTAAGCACTTTCTAAAACCGGCAAAGTCATTTTTGCTACTGTTTGCATCTTGCTCATATCTGTTAAATTCTACCCTTTGAGGGTACCTGGGTGGCTCCGTAGGTTAAGCGTCTGCCTTTGGCTCAGGTCATGATCCTGGGGTCCTGGCGTCGAGCCCCGCATCGGGCTCCCTGCTCGGTGGGGAGCCTGCTTCCCCCTCTCTATGCCGCTATCCCTGCTTGCGCTTGCACGCTCACTGTCAAATAAATAAAATCTTAAAAAAAAAATTCTACCCTTTGTTTCTTTTGATTGTAACCATCTGACAACACATCGAGATGCTCTGGGGACTCCAGCTCTGCTCTTTGGCTGTCTCTGCTGGCATTCCCAGCAGGCTGGGTCTTGGTGTGAGCGGGGATTTTCTCTTTCTAGACTTGGGTCTCCAAGTCTGATCGCAAACCCCAAAGCCCTCTGAGGAGAGGCTGTGGATCAGATCTTTGGCAGACAAATCGTAAACTGTAACCCCCTACAGAGCTAAAACAGACATTTACAGCCATTAGGAGGGTTATGTTTCCCAGTCCACTCTTCTATTCAAGGAATATAGCTCTGAGAGTCCTGTAATACTAAGGGCTAAGGAGAGGGACACGGTTCCAGCATTTCTCCCCACCGCTCAATCCCATCCAAGTCTTTGGCTCCTGCTCCCAGCCAACGGCTCATACTCCGAGGCTCCAGGGGCCAAGTCTCCGCAGCGTCTCAGGGAGGCCCTGGCTCGTGCTCTTTTACCCACTAAGACCGCAGCTCCCCACCCACCCACCCTCAACTTTTTTTTTGGTCCCTGGGAACTTCCCTTATTTTCCTAGGATTCAGCTATGCATTTAAAGCATGTTTGCTGGACTTCCATCTCCTGGTGGAGCCGTGCGCGGTCTACCAGAACTCCCAGGGAGAACAAGAAAAGCAGATCGTGGAAGTCATCCACTGGAAGGCAGGAGAGGGCTGCCAGACCACAAAACACAGAAAAGCTAAAGCTCATGTCCTTTCTCAGGATTCGAAGAGAAATGATTTGAGTGACTATTTTCTCGCCTCTCCCAAAGCTGCTACGAGGCTACTACCATCCGAGATGCAGAGGACAGAAATCAATTCAACTACATATGACGGATGCCTTAGCACACCACAGCTTCCTACGCTGGCAGAATGCCCAGATGAGAAGGACGGGAGAGTCAGAATGAATAAACAAATTCTCACCACGTGCCATAACATACATGAACCTCACAACATGAGATGAAGTGAAACGAGCCACATCACCACAGGTACAATCAAATTGAATGTGGGGGAAATCATCCATGGGGACAGAGGTCAGGACGAGGACGATTCTTGGGAGGGAGAGGTGTGCGGTCGCTTACAGGAAGGGGTCTTAAGGAGCTTCTGGAAGTGCTTCGTAACATTCTGTTTGTTGCTGGTTGTACAAGTGTGTTTACCCTGTGAAAATCCACTGAATCAGAGGCTAATAATGAGTATTTTTTTAGCATGTACATTGCATAAGGTTTAAATTTTACAAGTGTGCTTGTTCTAATTTAACCAGCATCATTTAGTTTACCACCGTATGTACTGTCTAGGGATGTGGGGGGAGAAATGCTTCAGTTGCATGCTTAGAGGAGTCGTTTTGCCCATATAAACATTATACTCCTTTACTGTTTGTTCTCACTTTTATATTATCATGTCACATGATAAAACAATGCCATTAAAAACACATCTTTGGAAAAATATTTTAAACACTGATAACCGCAACACAAATGCCCCATCTCCACACCAGAGAAAGGGCTTTCCTGTGATAGCTCATCCTTGGGCAGCCCAGCGTAGTTTGGAGTAGGAGCTCCACGACAGGGATGCAAGCACGAGTTCAGGGGTGACATGACTACCCAAAACAACGCAGACCAGAAGTGGCGAAGCTGGGACGTCAACACTGATCTGGTGCGGAAGCCACTTTCACGCTACCGCCTCCCAACATGCATAAGTAATCACGACGGAACAGGAGATGCGAGCTGAACAACCTGGAAATAAGGGACCAATTCCTAAAAACATACAACCTCCTAAGACTGGCTCACGAAGAATGAGAAAATCTGAACAAACTGGCAGTGAGTGAGGAGACTGAATAGGCAATCAGACAGGAACGACGGCGACGGCAAAATGAACAAGAACCCCTCTCAAACTCTTCCAAAAACACTGAAGAGGAGGGAACACGTCCAAAGCCATTTTACAAGGCCAGCATTATCCTGATACCAAAGCCATATAAGGACACTACGAGGAAAGAACATCACAGGCCAATACCACTAATAAGCCCAGATGATACACTCCTCAACAAAACAACACCGAACTGAATTCACCAGCACGTGAAAGGGTCATATGCCATGATAAAAGGTCATACACCCCCGGGATGCAAGGATGGGTGAATATATGCAAATCAATAAATGTGAAATACCACATTAACAAAATTGAAAGGAAAAAAATTCCTATGATCATGTCAATAAGTTTTTAAAAAGCATTCAACAAAATACAACATCCTCTCATGATAAAGACTCGCAACGAATCAGGAACAGAAGAAATGTACCTCAGCAGATTTCAAGCCGCATGCGACAAGCCCACAGTACGCAGGTCACCCTTAACAGCGAAACACTGAAAGACTTTCCTCTAAAATCAGGAACAAGATAACGTTCCCCACTCTCATCACCACAGTACTGGAAGTCCTAGCCAGAGCAATTAGGCAAGAGAAAGAAGTAAGAGACATCCACATTGCAAAGAAGTAAAACCGTCACGATTTACAGATGGCATGAGGAACTCAAACCACTCAGCAGCAAAACAAAAACAACCCCCCCCAACAACCCCAAAGAACCTGATTAAAAAACAGGCAAAGGATCGCAATAGACATTTCTCAAAAGACATACAGATGGGCAACAGGGATTTGAAAATGTGCTCAACACGACCCATCAGGGACATGGAAATTAAAACCACAATGAGGGGTGCCTGGGTGGCTCAGTGGGTTGAGCCTCTGCCTTAGGCTCAGGTCATGATCCCAGGGTCCTGGGATCGAGCCCCAGCATTCGGCTCTCTGCTCCGCGGGGAGCCTGCTTCCTCCTTTCTCTCTCTGCCTGCCTCTCTGCCTACTTGTGATCTCTCTCTCTGTCAAATAAATAAATAAAATCTTATAAAAAAACCCAAAAAACCACAATGAGAGATCACTGCGTAGGGGCACCTGTGTGGCTCAGTGGATTAAAGCCTCTGCCTTCGGCTCAGGTCATGATCCCGGGCTCCTGGGATCAAGCCTGGGATCAGGCTCTCTGCTCTCTGCTCAGTGGAGAGCCGGCTTCCTCCTCTCTCTCTCTGCCTGCCTCTCTGCCTACTTGTGATCTCTGACAGTCAAATAAATAAAATCTTAAAAAAAAAAAACAAAACCCACTGCATACCTATCAGAATGGCTAGTATCAAAAGTCAAAAGAAAACAAGTGTTGGGGCACCTGGGTGGCTCAGTGGGTTAAAACCTCTGCCTTCGGCTCAGGTCATGATCCCGGGGTCCTGGGACTGAGCCCTGCATGGGGCTCTCTGCTCTACAGGGAGTCTGCTTCCCCCCCCCCTCTGCCTACTTGTGATCTGTCAAATAAATAAATAAAATATTTAAAAAAAAAAAGAAAACAAGTGTTGATGAGGTGTAGAGAAAAGAGGGTTCCTGCACACTGTTGGTGGAAATGGAAACGCTAACAGTCATTACGGATAACAGTATAGAAGATCACAAAAAACTAAAAATAAGACGATCACATGATCCAGCAATCCCACTTCTGGGTACCCATCCAAAGGAAATAAAATCAGAATCTTGAAGAGCTACAGTTGCACTCCCAAGT